GCTATGAGGGATATCCTGCAGTGTCATCTGGCTCTTGTGGCAGGGGCTGCCTCTGTACAGTGGGATGCGGTTTTGGCTGTTTTCACTGGACAAACCACAGCCTCGGTTACACAGGCTGGACCTCCCCTACCCTCTTTTTTGGGGGTGGGGGGTGGAGGAGCATTCTTGGTCCTTCGGGATCCCACTGACCAGTTGGTACAGGTGAGACCCGCGAACCAGTTTGGCTTCCGCCAAGGGCAAGACCCCAAGCTGAGAAAACGGAACAACCAAAGTCGGCACCCACTGGCAAGAAGTAGCCAGGAGGCTCTTCTGGGGGAGGGAAGAGTGGCAACATGCCCCCCAGGAAGAAGGGACCAGGTGGTGGTCCCCCTCTTGCTCGTGGGACGCCTACCCAACTCGCAGGGGAAGAAAGTTTGAAGCTTCCGCTTGCGACGAGGGGGATGGGCATATGTTCAGCGGGAGGCAGAGTCTGAACCTATCGGCTTCTACAGGCCTCACTGGGTCTCACCTCGGTGGAGGAAGGATCACCCTTGATGGGGAGCTGCCGAACCCACACATCTGTCGCACTGATTGCAGCGATGTATTCCAGCTTGGAGACAGTGCATAACCGATCTCTGGATTCTCCAAGTGGTGATACACGGTTACAAGATCCCACTGCAATCTCCAACCCCCCTGGCATCATCCCCTGTTTGGGGTGCTACCAGGTACTTAAGCAGACTAAATCGGTATGTGCTGCCTGGAGCACCATATTACTCTCTGTGCTCTGTTTCTACTGGTTACCCTCGCTAGATTTGAGCGATGCTTACCCAAACATACCCATACACCCAGTGAGTCGGCTCTTCTCTTGATTTGCCCAGTTGAGCCAAGTAGTCGAGTACAGGGTGCTCCCCTTTGGGTTTTTGCATGGCTCCATACATATTCACCAGAGTGTGGAAACAGGTGGTGTTACTCGTACTGCTGCGCTGGTACACATCACATCGGTACACATCAACCCATACCTAGGGGTGGTTAGTCGAACAGTAATGCTAACACCAGATTTACTACACCAGTTGGGCTTCCTAGTAAAAGTCCCATCCTCCTCCAACACAACAGTTGGTGTTCCTAGGTAGGGAGTTCGACACAGAGGTGGGCTTGGTACGGTCATCGCAGGCCTGTTGCGTAAATGACCTAGTCGAACGCCTAGTCAGCACTCACTCTGTGTCCCTCTTAGAACTAATGCGGATCATCAGAATGATGACCTTTGTTTGCAGGGTAGTTCCCCCAGGCCAGGTTACACAGCCGACCGATTCTGCTCACTTTTGTCACAACACCGGGCTCACTTACGGGAACTGGAGACCAAGCGAGGGATGCCTTGTCCTGGTAGTCGGCAATTGCCAACCTTAGGCAGGGTTCCCCTTGGACCCACTCGCCACAGCTATGACTCTGGTAACGGATGCCTCTCTCACAGGTTGGGAAAATATGGTCCCTGCGTTGAATTCAGGATCGCCATATCAACTTGCTCGAACTGAAAGAAGTGCACTTAGCACTAATACACTTTCTACCCATAGTTCGAGACCACAGAGTCTTGCTTCGCACGGACAACACAGCGGTGATCTCCTATAGCTACAAGGTGGAGGGACCAGATCCTCATCGTTGTTAGTCCGAGCAAATTCTCCTTGGGTACCTGAAGTACAATGTGGAGCTAGCCGCACACCACCTTCCAGGGGCGAGGAACAGTCAAGCGGACGCCCTTTCGTGATGGCCCTGTCTCCAGAACGCGGAGTGGCAGATGCCTCAATGAGTAGCCTCCAGACTTTTTCGGTGGTGGGGTGGTCCAAGGTTAGACCTATTCACCTCACCCTGGAGTGCCAAGCTTCTGAGGTACACAACACTCCTGCTGACTCCAGGAGCCTGGGCCAGGGTCTCTTTGTTGACCCCCGTGGACCCACATGGATGTGTACGCCTTTCCTTCTTTCCCACTATTCACAGGGTACTCGAGAAACTTCAACAGGAGTGCACCTGCGCTTTGACGTGGGTGACGCCCAACGGGCCAAGCAAGGTCTGGTTTGACTACTGTTGGAAATGTTAGTTGTAACACCAGGGGTGCTCCCGGACTTCGGGATCTGCCGTCCCAATCGTCCCAACCAGACGGCACACTGCCTTTGAGCCCAGCAAGCGGAGTACTACTTACACGCATCGAGGCTCTCAGTTGACTCACTCAGGTTTTTTCTGAGTGGACTGCCAACGTCCTGGCCATGGCGAACAGGGCTCTCACCAACACAGCCTACGCCTTGAAATGCCGAGTATACACTGATTGGTGTAGTGGAAGGGAGATCCATACCATCCCTCTGTTGGCAAGGAAGCTGACTTTTCGTTCATCTGTTTGACAAAATGGACTTGTCTTTTCAGCGATTGTTGGCTATAGGTCAGCCTTGTCATCCACCATTGAGGTTTCTCTGGGGATGAGGCTAGCCATTTGTCCTACCATTAGGAGACTTATTACTGCTTAATCAGAGGCCTAGACCCTGAACGAGCAAACTAATCAATTGGGACTTACATGTGTATTGTTTGTGCTGTCCACTCTAAGCAGCCCGCCCTTTGAGCCTTTCTGATCAGCAGCAATCCAATATTTGATGTGGAAAACAGTCTTCCTACTTGCCCTCGCCTCAGGTAGGCGTCAGGCTGAACTAGGGCCCTGTCCTTCTCAGATGGGTGTGATGCCTTTATGGACAATAAAGTCGTGATAAAGACAGGAATCTGGTTCCTCGCCATGAATCAAATCTCAGGATGCGATCCACAACCGATTGTCATCCCCCGGCTGGCAACATTGTCAACCCGGAGGATCAGGAGGAGTTGCTTCTGTGCCCGGTTCGAGTGCTGAGTTACTATGAGAGCCGTACTAAGGAGTCGAGGCAAGGCGCATAAGCGATATATGTGTTTTGACAGCATGTTTTTGCAGAGAGATCTCTCCCGTCAGCGCTTTCGACCTATTCCCTAATGGGCCATTCCAGTTTGTATCTGCACCCCCTGTTGATGAGCTTGTGTATTTACTTCATACAGGGTATAAATTCCATGGGTGTATAAGTCATACAAAGTTTTATTTCCAAATCACCATTCACCATACAGTGATGGAAATCCAAAACTATAGTTCCTACTTATGGTGTTGATGAGTTCCTTTGTGCCACCATACAGAGTAGGATTTCCAAATATAACTCTCATATGCTAATTTACTAAGTTCAAAATTTTATATTTGATAATGGAAATTCAAACTAGTCCTGATTCACGGTGTTGATGAGCTCATTCGTGCCGCCATCCTTATCTAATTTCAGTAATAACTATTTCATACTGGCCCAATTTTTTTACCATATACAGTCAGAATTCCAAGTTTTTTTAGTCATACAGTCTTGGAAATCCAACCTCATCAACCGGTATGTGGCGAGATAAACTAGGCCATATTTTATTTAGTAGCCATAACTGCCTGGATTTCCAGATTCTGTTTCTCCATATACAGTTGGAATTCCGGGGTATTTTTCCCCATCATACAGTGCTGGAAATTCGACCTCATCAACAGGGGGGGGGGGGGTGCAGATATAAACTGGAATGGCCCAATGCAGAATTGTGTCTCTTTTTTTTCTTTTGATCTTAATCAGCAGAGTGATTAAGAGGACAAGATGGCTGCGCCTCATTGCCTCGGTCACATGGTTTGTGACGTAAGGGATAATCCTTAGGTCATGGGGCTTCCTCGGACCTAGATTTCTCTCTCTGTCGTTGGCTGAATCGCAGATTAATGCTTACAGGTCAAAATAGTCATTTTGACTGACCAGAGTCTATGGTGGGTATGAACTATGTGAATAGGCAGGTTGAAAACCCTCTGCCTAATTTTGATGCAATTTTATAATCTGTATTAAGCAGGTTGATTGGTCGCCAGTTGTGGATAAACCATTTGTTTTTACCTTTTTTTCAATAATTGTTTTGACTATTTGAACATTAACCAGTCACATGTACATATGTAGTATTTAATGCCTTAACCAGGTATTCTTCACATAGAGGCCAGAAAGTACTGTAGAACTCAATACTCAGTCCATCATTGTCTGGGGTTTTATTTCTGGACAAACCCATGTAGAATTCAAGGCTTAAAATACTTTGTGTGGGTAATAAGGCCTTCACACAAAGCTCTCCCTAAATAATCTAGTTTAACTTAATCTTATCGTATTTGAAATGAACCATGTCTTTGAATAAAAAAAATAAACACATAATTTGTTTATGTTCATCCTTTTTGTTTTTCTTTTCATTCAAATGTTTGTGGTTGTCTTATTGTTATAATTTTGTTTTGTCGCTTTATTGTATTTCCAACCAAAATCCCACATTGGGATACAGCCTCAATAAATAATATTATTATACATGTACATTTTGTACATCTGTCACCGTAACGCCACAAGTTGCAGCATGCCCTTAATTTTGCGGTATTTTACAGGGTAATTTCATCCTTCCATATTAGGAAATGCAAATTCCAAATATGGAATGAGAATATGTGTAAGCGTCCTCTAATAATAAAAACAAACATGGCTGCCAAGAGGATTTGACCGGACTCCACACAAAGAAGTTTGCTGATTGTGTTCTAAACTTTTTGAATTTTGGTATTCTCATGATTGTATCCTTGGAAGGAAAAGATGTATAATAATAAGGTTATTACTAGAATACCTCAATGTATGCACTCGAACAGTACGCTGTCACATTGACTTCTGCTGCACGTTGGTTGATACTCCTGCTGTACTGTCTTTGTGCATACTTTGAGGTATCCTCGTAATAACCTCATATTATTACGTACTATTAGTGTTGTTATGTAGAGTTAGTTATGTATGGTATGCAAAATGACCATTTTTTGCTCTATTAGAAAGAACACCATTTGTAATTAAAGTGCATATAAACAGTAATGCATTTATACTGGATTATTGTAATATAACAGAATGCACTATTGATTGAGAAAAAACGCGTACTTTGATATCTTTGTTATGTTGTAGATGCTGGATACAGACTTACTTATCCAGGGTATGATTACTTAGCATTAAAAACATTATCATCAAGGGATGTGATTGGTTCCATTGGAAACCAGATTGGCACAGGTAAAGAATCAGATGTATACATTGTTGCCAATGACGACGGCCAGCAGCTGGTGATGAAACTCCAGAGGTATAGTAATCCTGAGTTAATTATCTACGCATACATTCACTAAGGTCATTGCTCTCACAATGTTCAGATTTTTTTTTTCTCATGACCTGACTGACCTATTAAAAAAATAAAAATAAGTACATACATTTTTTGTAAATAATTATCTTTGTCAATGCCTGTAAAATATATGAACTTGGAACCAATAGAACAATGCTGGATAGATACTGAATTACTAAGTTCCTGTCTAATTTACAGAATATAAGCTACTGCACTGACCTGAAGCTACCACTTGCTGCCACAGTTGCCTAATATTAGTAATCATTAAACTAATTTTTGTGGTTTATTCATTGCTATATTATGCTAAAAAAAGTTGCAAATAACAACCACCTTGAAATTTTGAAATTGATGCATCATTGATTTTTTTACTAACTAGCCTTACCATAAACAATAATGTCCATGCGCTTGGAATTATGGGTACATGCATCAAATTTGTGTTCATACATATTAAATGTTAGATGAAATCATTTTGTTTTGCAATTTGATTCAAAATGTCAATTTAGTTTTTTACATGGCTTATATATGTACTGATTTCTTGAATACTCTTTTGCAGAGATTTGGTACACAGATGATTTGAATTTGTTTAAATTTGGTACACAGATGATTTGAATTTGTTTAAATTTTGTACACAGATGATTTGCATTTGTTTAAATTTGGTACACAGATGTTTTGAATTTGTTTAAATTTGGTACACAGATGATTTGAATTTGTTTAAATTTGGTACACAGATGATTTGAATTTGTTTAAATTTGGTACACAGATGATTTGAATTTGTTTAAATTTGGTACACAGATGATTTGAATTTGTTTAAATTTGGTACACAGATGATTTGCATTTGTTTAAATTTGGTACACAGATGATTTGAATTTGTTTAAATTTGGTACACAGATGATTTGAATTTGTTTAAATTTGGTACACAGATGATTTGCATTTGTTTAAATTTGGTACACAGATGATTTGCATTTGTTTAAATTTGGTACACAGATGATTTGAATTTGTTTAAATTTGGTACACAAATGATTTGAATTTGTTTAAATTTGGTACACAGATGATTTGAATTTGTTTAAATTTGGTACACAGATGATTTGCATTTGTTTAAATTTGGTACACAGATGATTTGCATTTGTTTAAATTTGGTACACAGATGATTTGAATTTGTTTAAATTTGGTACACAGATGATTTGCATTTGTTTTTGTTAAAAAACTAAAATAAACAAATCTTGTTAAACGCTTAACATTCTGCCATCTGTGTGTACACCATATGTTGAAGTTAATGCTGGCATGATATTATGCTCACTCTGTTCGATCTCTGTGTTCTGATCACTGTATTTGGTCTTACAAATACATAATAATTAAAGCACTCATAAACCAACATTTGATCTAATTTATTACTTGACATTAAAATATGTATTATTTTGACAATTGACAACTATTAAGAGCAAATAAATTATGGTATCACAAAAACATTTATTATCTTAACAGACTTGGTCGTACTTCATTTCGTAAAATAAAAGAAAAGAGAGATTATCATAGACATCGTAAAAATGCCTCTTGGCTGTACTTATCAAGACTAGCTGCAATGAAGGAGTTTGCTTTTATGAAGGTTGGTGTCATCATATGGTTAATGTGATTGGTTAAAAGAAATCATGTGGTATGCAATGCATCTTGGGATATTTATCTTATTCCTCAATAATTGATGTTCTTATCAATTTAGCATCTGCTAATGACATCTGTTCATATCAATAAAGTCACTTCAGTCAGGAGATGAATTGGTTAATATTCATGGAAAACAATTTTTTTAGCATAACTTTATCTTTACTGAAATATCTAATATATTGAAATGAATCGGTGCTATTATCTTAAAGTGTAACTGAATTGGGCCAATTGACTTTTTTTGTGTGCAAATTTATTTATAAACAACATTATGAAAAAAAATCAAGTGAAAAGGGTATATAAATTGGGTAAACAGTCAATGATATTCCAAAATTGGGCCACACCCCCCTCTCCCATCACCTTCAAGTTTTTTCGGCATTATGAGTGCTGTCGAAATGGCGCCACCAACGGGACCATAAAGCAGGAGATAGCTAGCAGACAGGATTGTTTACGATTTTCCATACGTACGCGTTTAGTAAACCAGCATATACAATGAGCTACCACAATAGTTATCATGGGGAAATGCTGTGTTGTTGGCAGGTGTAGCAACACATACGGCGATTGCGTAAGTCTTCATGCATTCCCAAAAGATTTGAATTTATGACATCAGTGGACCTAAGCCGCCCGTGAACACCAGGAAATATTGGGATGGACCTTCTCCTTATAACGTTATCTGCAGTGCCCATTTTACGGCAAGACTGAGAAAAAAAACCGACTAATCGATTGTTATAGAATGACCGTACTGTACAATTTGTCACAAAAATACAATAATTGCAAATGTAATGTCAGCCAGCGCCCATCTTACTTGTCCGAAGTTATCAAAGCAGACATCAATGGAGATCGCGTTTTTAACTAGGCGGCTGGCAAGCGGACTAACACGTCACATAAACTTGTTGAATTACAATTATGGTTTTTATTTTTGCGCCCAATGTCTCGTTATAAAATAAAGGATTCAAATTTTGCAGGGTATTCCGTTTTGCGTACTCCGGGCGAAATACTTCCATGAGCTGTACGTAGTTCACTTACAGCCAAAACAAAGTCAGCTTGGACATTAAGTTGTGAGACACGACAAAACAAACGCTGCCAGTGATAGATTTCATGAATAAAAGAACAAAATAAAGGCAATCAAAGTGCCGACCACACGCATTGGAGATAAATAGAATGCATTGCGAAGAGGAATCGCACCTGCATCTCAACGACGTCTCCAGTCATGAGCAGGGTTTGCCGCGTCTTGGAAAAATTGAAAGATAAAAAGGAATCAGTGTCGGGGAACCATTGACAATATTTGCATGAAAAATCCCACGCGAAAGTTTTTTTTTTTTATGTGTCTTTAGGAATACTCAGTTACAAACACTATGGTACCTGAATCTCGATTAATTCATAAATATGAATCGGTAAGGGTCAATTTCCTGCAATCCTTGAAGATAGCTTTGAGTGAAGATTAAAGTTGCCTCCAAAAATCTTTCTAACAATGACCTGGAAGATTGCCATGATTGAGTGCCACAATTTCTGTTTTAAGATTTATTTGGTATTATAATACAAATGTTCACCCCAACAGAGGTGGACATACAGTTTTAGCGACCCGAAGAGCTCATTGTCAACCATCTTGAATTTTCAAGGTGAATGTTCCGGCAAAGCACTCCACTATATTGTGGAGGGAGAAATGTCCGAACGGAACAACACCGTGCAGGCGGACGATGATTGTCAACCGAGGTGAAGCACTACAATAAAGACTTTTCGTTCTCAATAAATAATAATAAAAAAAAAAAGACTTCCCGTTCCCGACATTAGGAAATTCTTTCGTCTTTTCTGGGGGGAAAACCTGGAAAAAAACTGATTTTGACAGGATAATTCAGAAATTTATATTAAGAAAAATTCATAACGAAATGTATTCCATATGTACCCATAAATTATTTTCATAATTACTGATTACACACGAATATTACAGAAAAAAATAATTTGCTATATTATCTATATTTGTGCCTTTTATTTGTCTTGAATTGTGACTGAAAGGAGCTAGACGAAATTACAAACTATGTAGTGTGTTCAACAACTCATGTATGAACAATAACTTTAATAAATATAATTTACTTGGTAAAAATATTGTATTTTTCTACATAAAAACAAAAGAATTTCACAATGTCGAAAACGGAAAGTTTTTATTACCATGATAGTGTTGTTGGTAATAGTTGAAAATGAATCATCCACATGAAACTATATACAATGTACATCTAACTGCGCCATCGCTAAGTTTCCTTGGTGGACTACGAGCTCTGTTCCTTGTTTGCATTGCAGACATTATTTGTAGGGGTGCCCCCGTCGAAATGGCACATTTTCTTGATGTTTCAGCAAGTACTCCATGGAGTATATGGCTTGTTCTCACATTAGCATAATTTTTTTTGAGTTCACTCATCGCTTTCCCATATGCATTTCTCGTTCTTTGCTGCTAACTTTTTTTGCACTTTAATATGTTGTTGTTTTTGTCTTTCTAAACATCAAGTTTATTCTTGATTGAAATTTAACAAGATCGTTTGAATTTTGAATTTGATGACGGTTCGAATTTATCCACTTTTACAGTGATCAATATTGCGTTCGAGTTGAGTTACTTGTAATTTATACAAGCCTGATTTACATTTTTCTTGCGGTGTTTCGTCAATGTACATGTATTAAATATAAATAGCATAATTATATTGCGAAATGAATGAGTCTGATGAGGCTGTGTCACAACACGTTTTATTTATTTGCGTTGATCGCCTTTATTTTTTATTTTTATTTTTGAAATGTATCACTGGCTGTGTTTGTTTTGTTTTATGTTTTCCTTTTTTTCATGTTTCGTCCGGCTGCTGCCAATCCAATAATTCGTCGCCGCATGTACTCAGTCAGACAAGCGATTAATCGTCAGTCATTATCCTAGTAGTTTAAGTTTGTAGAAATTCAGCTATGCGATGATTATATGTGCAGTTTTGTTTTGCGCACCCAGACACGAGCAAAAGTTAACTCGATATATTTTCTGAACTACAGCATTCGTATTACGTATGCAAATTGAGTAAGTGTTAAATTATTTTGAGTGCCGTTCGGAATAAATTTAGTCAAAATCACATACAGAAACACACACACAACACACAAACACTAGTACTCAATACATATCACGATTGACTGACCAGCTGCTTGAACTACGCACACAAGGACGTAAATATGTAAATACAGGTCACAGTTCAACTTGCGTAGCAAACGTTACAATGTGTCAAGTGATTTGAAGGCGTCTTTGTCCCCTTTCCCAATACAGAGAAGCAATACGCTTTGTATTTTGAATCATCATTAAAACCTAAATTTATTACGAATAAAAACATAAGTTTATAGATCAGTTGGCAAGCGGAAGATGTTTCTGAAGCCAGTCATAGCAGGAGCGAGCGAACAAAAGGAAGCGAGCGAGCGAAAAAAAAAACGATCGGAAAGCAGCGAGCGGTCTGAACTGTATTGTTGGTTATCATCTTTGTTTTTTTAGGCACTTCATGAGAATGGTTTTCCTGTTCCTAAGCCAGTAGATTACAATCGCCATTGTGTGATAATGGAACTAGTAGATGGTTATCCACTGTAGGTTCACATTT